TCCCTCCGTCTATTCGTACGTACGTAGACGTCGACCGACCGACCGTCCTCTCTCTCTCTCTCTCTCTCTCTCTCTCTATGCATTGTTAACTCTTTCTCTCTCTCTCTCACTCTCCTCTGTGCATGTTAACTACGGGGATGTTCAGAGGGAGCTTCTGGACCCTGCTATCGAGGGCACACTCAATGCTCTTAGGGCGTGTAAAGCAGCAGGCGTTAAGCGAGTGGTGGTCACATCCTCCATCTCTGCAATCATCCCCAGCCCTAATTATCCTGATGATGCCATCAAAAATGAGGATTGCTGGACCGATCTCGATTACTGCAAGCAAAATGGGGTAAATTCCTTTCTCCATACCCATTCTCTCTCTCTATGAAATGCTGAAAGCAACATGGGTCCTCTCTCTCTCTCTCTCTCTGTCACACGCATGTCCAAGTAGCTACTTTTGACCATATTGCTAAGTGAATTTAATGGTTTTATGGGAGAAAAATTGGAAAATTAATCTCTTGTTTATTGTTTTGTAGGTCTGGTATTCGGCTTCAAAAACATTGGCTGAGAAGGCAGCGTGGGATTTTGCAAAGGATGAGGGCTTGGATGTGGTGGTCATAAATCCAGGAACAGTGTTTGGCCCAATTTTACCACCCCGACCCACCATTAATGCTAGCATGGCCATGCTGCTTCGCCTCCTTCAAGGTATAACACTTTATATGCATAAACTTGATTCTTGTACTCAATAGACCCAAATATCATAAATTTTCTATTCTTTATATTGAGAATTCAAGAAAAATTTTATGCTCAACATTTGAAAAAACCGGCAATCTGGACCGGAGATCGCTGATCCGGACCAAGAATCAGCCTTGATTCAACTTGTTCCGGAAGGAATAGGTACCGTTTGTCCTTCCTACCCCCTCCCCTGCCTCCTAAGAAAAACCCAAAAAATTATGAAAGAGAAATTTACCTGTATCCCATAGAAATACTGTAATTGTGGAAAGCCCCTCTAACTTTTGTATATTACACGCATATCCATTTCGTTTGTCCTCTTTTTATTCCAAATTTACCTTGGCTCGGAGTTTGAAAATCTGAAGTCACCACTTCAGTTGATCACTTCGGATTTTCAATACCTATAGACATCATTTTTTATTCATTTTTCTCAAAAAAAAAAAAACCAAGGTCGTCTTACCGGTTGATGACTTTGGATTTTCAATTTCTGTAGTTATCATTTTTCTTGAAAAAACCGGTTACTTATGATCTTGAAAATCTGAAGTCACTCTTGACTTTGGAATTTGAATATCCGAAGTGACATGAAAATCTTTATTGCAATGCAACTTCGGATATTTAAAATCTGAAGTCAAGAGTGACTTTAGATTTTCAATATCCAATGGGACTGATTTCCATGCAATTTTGGATATAAAAAATCTGAAGTCAAAGGTGACTTTAGATTTTCCCCCTAAAACTGGCTTATCAATATAACTATGGATATTAAAAGACTAAAGTCATTTGTGACTTCTGATTTTCAATCTCTGGAATAGGGTAAATTTGGAATAAGAAAAATGACAGACAAAAAGATATAGGCCTAATGTACAAAAATTAAGGGGAATTTTTGTAATTACGATATTAATTTCTAATGCTTTCTTGAGTGCCGCTCCAACCCACCCCCACACCAGTGGGGAAAATACCCCGTCTTTATGTTTTCTAGTGTTTTGCTAGATCGCAAAATCGGACCTATCCGTATCACAACACAGATATGTGTGGTGGACGATCGACCCCAACAATCTGTATTTCCAAATAATACTTATGTTAGACGCAAGCTTGCACGCTCATATGTAAACAAGCACAACCTTAAGCAATGGATATGTGAATTTATGAGGTGATCATTCATCCTCTATATTCAATCATGGTTTTGGAGTTTTGATGTGTTTCATCCTCAAATGAATTAGGTTATGCATATTACTTCGGATATTAAAAAATCCAAAGTCAAGATTGACTTTACATTTTCAATATCTAAAGTGACCCCTTTTTTTTTCCTAAAAATGGCTTATCATTATAACTACATATGTTGAAAGTCTGAAGTCATTTTTTTCTGATGCTTTCTTGGGTCCGCCTCAGTGGGGGAAATACCCCTCTCTTTTTTTCTAATGCTTTTCTAGACCACCAATTCAAACCAATCTGGATCACAACACGGATATGTGGTAGACGATCCACCCCAATGATTCGTGTTTCCAAAAACTATTTGTGTTAGATGCAAGCTTGCACTCTCATATATAAACAAGCACAATCTTGAGCAATGGATATGTGAATTTGTGAGGTGATCATCCATCCTCTTTATTCAATCATGCTAGGTTTTGGAGTTTGATGTGTTTCATCCTCGAATGGATTTGGTTATGTATGTATGTAATTTTGTGGCTGAGGCTGATGTGACCTTGATGTCAGAGAGGGAGACAAGGGTATAACTTTTTCAAAGTTACTTCCTTTGGCTAATGTTCTCTCATTGAGTACATTGGTGGTTATGTATATTGTGGCTTCTCTGTTCATTTAATGATTTACATATTGGCTAAGAAGACAATGAAGCTTCTTAAACATAGGTAGTCTACAAGATTGAGTTGAGCCTTCTTACGTGTTTCCTATGATATCTAATATGTTATTCTTCTGGTATGCTTATGTATTAGCTCCCATTTGAAGAATAACTGCTTTTGTTGATGTTTTGTCCATTGGCAATCTTCGTGAATTCGAAAGAAGTTTGACAAAATAACGGTATGCTTTTTTGAGGATTGGAGCAGGGATGGGTGTTCTAGAAGAGGGTGGCAAGATGAACTCTATCTTCTTAGCTCATTTTAAAAATGCATTTAAAGAAGCAAGTAGAGGACCTACTTAGGCAGTGGAAACCTATATAGCCAGTCATGCTCCTAACATTAGTATGGGCCAAAAGGGTGTGTTGAAGCTGGAAAGACCCTCATTAGAGGACATGGGCTTTCTATGGGGGCCGTTAATGAGGGATGCTTTCTTGCAGTTTGGAATACATTCTGGGTTTGATTGGAGAGCAAATTCCACAAAGTTTGATATCAAGGCTCTCCTTAGTGGGTTTAGTAGTTTCATTTCCTCTTTCTCCAGAGGGATAGTCTAAAGATGATACATGGGTCTGGTGGGGCTTCCCTTATCATATGGAGGCATGAGGACTGGATTGTTTGAGGGGATACTAGAGATTTCTATCTTTTAGCCCTATTACTTCACCATGTTCATTTAGAAAGTAAAGAAAAATGCATATTCCATAGACTGATTTGTGGTTGCTAGGGTGGGCTGAGTTTTGGGACTCTTTCCATAGACTGATTTGTATACACGCAGGAGCGTATAACTCCCTCGGGTATCTAACATTGATTGTAAATAGCGTACTGAAGTTTTTTTTTTTTAATAATGTTGACTGTTATATATATATGAAGGATGAGTACAGAGGGGAGGGGGAGAGAGGGCTATCCACAGGCAGATAGCAGAATTACAAGGGGGGGAGAGAGAAAAACCAACCACTAAGAGCAGAGTTACAGGAGGGAGAAAGAGAAGAGATATCCCCTTGGGATAGCTAAAAAAGCTAGAGTAAGATAAAGTGCAGATACGATATGCGAGGTAGAATAGGAGCCTCTAGAGAGGCTGTTAGGAAACTGAGGTTCCAATTTTATCTTCACCACGGGCCGCTGCTTTCGCCAAGGCGTGTGCGACATTGTTTGCCTCCCTCCATGTGTGCCTCCATTCGACAGTTAGTCCCCTGCATAGGTGTAAAATTTCCTCAAAGATGTGGTGTAAGACGCAAGGGACAGAGGAGGGATGTTTTGCCCAGGTAATGACATTCTTTGAGTCGTCTTCACTGATGAAAGGCGAATTTGAGAAAGGTTGGATCAATCTAATGCCCTCTAACCGTGCAGTAGCTTCTGCCTCCATTGAGTCCATGTGGCCTACGAACTTGATGGTTGAAGCTACCGTGGCACTGGCGTGTGATGGTCCAGGGTTGCCTAAGGAACACCCATCAAAATTGCGCTTAAGGTGACCCTGGGGTGGGGTTGCCAGTGTGAAGCTCTATGAGTCCTCTGCTTGGAATAATGCATAAGAGTATTCCGGTTTTGGTGGAAGGCTGAAACTGGGACTCCTTGGAAGAGTTTGTGGTTTGTGGCCCAGAAAATAACCCGCGCCAAGATTTTAGAGAACACGAGAGAAGGTGTCTCTAATTCCCCCCTAAAGATTCTGTTATTTCTTTCTATCCACAGGGCCCATATGGTTGCCACGACCATGGTTTTCCAAAGGAAAATCCCAGCCTTGGGCCAGGGGTATGGTTCAAAAGCTCTGAGTAGCGAAGGTACCTCTTTGGGTAGGACCCATTGCGTACCTAACAGAAACAGGATCTTCCGCCAGACTTCAAAAGCAAACAAGCATGAGAGGAACAAGTGACAAAGGGAATAAGTACTATGTCCTGTGCTATCAAAAAAGTGATCACCACTGTCAAAGGCATGTGCCTCTAGGTGTGAAGCATATGCTTTAATATTCACCTGTATTAGCCTTTCATAACTAAGCTGTACATCATTGACAAGCTGTAATGCTTTTACTCCTAGGGATGAAGAGTGGTTCAGAAAGTTACCTAACCATTTTCTGATTGAGATTTCTCCTTGTAGTACTCTTCGAGACTTTTACATTCCTTATCTTTCCAGGAATAAAAGAAGCCTCTAGCATTTATTCACTGGAAGGAATTGTGAGAAAAGCCTACATTTTATATGAATATCTATTAATTTGCATTTAAAGCTCCACACTCAAGTTATTAAACTTATCTATTAAGATCTGAAAGACCCTGCAAGCGTTAATGAGACCATAATCAACTGCTTTCATGCTGCATTTGAGACCATGTGTAATCCTTTTAATTGGTCCCTTATTACCACTTGGATTTGGTATTCAAGAGTGATTTGAGGTAATGGCTTCCTTGCGTCTTGGGTCTAATCTTTTCATTGGACCTAGACTGTAGTATATCATGTGTGAACCTAATTTTATTGTCAATTGACTGACAAACAAGTCGGAGCTTTAACCAATCATAAAAATAAAAAATAAAAAAATAAAAATAAAAAAGGAAAAAACAAGCGAGTCTAAGCTTTCATATTTTGTACTTTTTCATAGTGTACAACATGGAACCCATGTCAAATTATGACTCAAGGTTTTCTTTGACCAAATATTTTTATCGGGAAAGCTCTTGGGTATCTCAAATCTAGGCGTTCAATACACTAAATTAATGACTTTATAAAGTGATATAAAAAAAATGAAAAAAGAAGGAACAAAGAAAGGTTCTTCCACTTCATGTTGGAAAAGCATGAGATCTCTGATGTGCTGCATCAAATGGCTTCCTCTTTGAGCTGGGAAAAGCATGAGACCTCTGATGTACTGTATCAAGTTCCTTAGGAGTTTTCTATCTTATCTTCTTTTGTTTAGTTCCATTGTCTTAAAATTTGGACTCTTACTATTTTTTTACTTTGGGAGGCTTTATTTATTCTTATAATGTGGCAGGTTGTACTGAAGGTTATAAGGATTTTTTTATGGGTTCTGTACATGTTAATGATGTGGCATTAGGGCATATCCTGTTATATGAGAATCCATCAGCTTCAGGAAGGCACTTGTGTGTTGAGTCCATTTGTCACTGGAGTGACTTTGCTGATGCAGTTGCTAAAGTCTACCCGGGATACAAAGTGCCTAGGTAAACTCTCTCTCGGTGGACATTCACACACACACAAACACATGCTCGCATTAATTGACCTGGATATTCCTTAAACTTTCATTATTGGTTTCTGTAGGTTCACGGAAGTTACTCAACCTGGGTTGTTGAGGGTGCAAAAGCCATCAACAAAGCTGATTGACTTGGGCCTGAACTTCATCCCAATGGAGGAGATAATTAAGGATGCAGTGTCTAGTTTACAAGAGAAAGGATACCTGTCTTGACGAGGTTCTTGTGGTAAACCGTTCTCACATGTGGCCCTTAATATCATTAGAGCCTGTTAAATTAGAAGTTGAACATGTTCGATGCAGTAATAATTTCAGATACAGATATACATCCCCTCTTGTAGGACCTTTTAGAGGACAGTGTCCTTGTGTCTCTGTTTGGAGTTGTGCTTTCCTTGTAACTTGTTCCGAAGGCCAGTAGAAACCAATTGAAATGGGTCAATGGTTACTGTTAAATCCTTCTCATGATAGTTGCATCATGTTGATATATTCATTGATACAAAGTTTTCTGAATATTTGAGAACCTTTAGCTGCTGCATAATGCATAAAACCAAATGATTTTAAAAACAGAAATTGAGATAACTGCATGTGAGGTGAAATAGGTTTGATATCATTGACTTTTATTTTATGACTGTCGTGATGTAATGCAACTCACATGCTATATTTGTTGAAAGAAAATAACAAGCTATCAGGTCGAGGTAATTTTCCAATGGTGTTCTGTTTGCACCTTGTAATACAAGACTTAAATGCTAAATGGTGGATAGCATGCATGTCATACTTTTATATTCGTATTACTGTAGCAGAGGCACCATTTTAACATTAAAACCAGGAAAGGAGAAAGCCAATGGTTAGTACTGCTCCGCATGCTCCATGTAAGACCATTTTAGTACACTAAAAAGCAACACAGTTAAGGTTCTTACAGCAGTCAATAACCTATGAATTGAAAATCACCAAAAGACACTTAATTTCAAGCGGTTTAGTTAATTTTGTAGTTTTCAATGCGACAAATGACACGGGTACAAAAAGATGTGAAAATCTGATGCCCATCGCACAGGCTGACTGCGCCGATTAGATCTTGAATATGTAGACGGAAAATTGCCAAGACAAATGATTTTAAGTGGTTAGGACAATTTTGCCATTTTGTGGGACAAAAGGTCCTCCTTGGACTAAAAAGATGCACAAAGCTTGAAGACACGCCGTTTAGACATGGGCAAAGGGTGCCTCTGCGCTAGGGGTGGCAAAAGGTTGGGTATGAATCGGGACTAGTTGGACTCGGACCTGGACCCAGACCCAGATCCAGACCCAGACCCGAATAGTATTTGGGTCCAAGATTTGGATCCGGACCTGACTTGTTGGGTCCAAAAGTTGGACCCATACCCGTACCCATTGGGTCTCAGGTCTATTCCGTCATGCCTCGAATCTGGTCGGGTCTTTTGCCACTTTTTCTGAGTTTTTTTTTTTTTTTTACCATTTTTTACTATTATATACCGATGTTATTGGCAATAAGGTCACAATCACTTGCCAATAGATTTCAAGCCATCTGATTTGTTGTTTACTAGTTAAAGATGACTATGAGTTCTTATTGTATATGATCTTTAATACACCTAAACGAATACGGCTTGAAGTATTTTATCTCCAACAATTTACGGGTACACAAACCCAGACCCGAATAATGTTCGGATCCAGGTTTTGGACCCAGACTTTACCCGTCGTGTCCAAATGTTGGACCTATACCAAACCCGTGTCGGGTATACTTGGCGGGTCCCAGGTCAGATCGAGTCTATTGCCACCACTATTTTGCGCCTATCAGAATTTGAATATAGATATTTCTAAATTGCCAAAAGATGTTTATCTGGACCAATTTGCTAAACAAAAACTTCGGGTCAAAATGCACGGTTGCACGAGCCGGTATCTTTGTGCCTGTTGTCATTTAAATTAAGGAAAAGTATAAAATGATGTCATTTAAAATTAAAAAAAAAGAAAAGTATATAATGAGACCATTTATTTTTTGCACAAGGTGATCACAATTAATATTGACCATCATATGTAAAATTGGGTGGCTTCATTTGTTTTATTGACCAAGCTTAAAGTTCAAAAGAAATTTTCTCGAACTTTGTGACAAACTTAAGCTATTAGATTTCACAGCAGATAATCTCATTGTACATGGAGGTCACAATTACTTACAACCATCCAATGTGAAATTTGATAGCTTAAGTGTGTTACAAAGTTCGAAAAAATTTCTTTTGAACTTGAACTTTAGTCAATGAAATAAATGAAGCTACCGAATTCCACATCCAATAGTCAATATTAATTGCGACTACCTTATGCAAAAGGTAAATGATCTCATTATATACTTTCTCGTAATAAAATAGGATGTTCAATAATATGTAAAAAAAAAATCGCTTTTTTTTATTTTGTTAAGTTGGGCTGGATTTGGGCTAAACTCGATCGAGTAACTTGCCTTGGCCAAAAGCCATGTACCTTGGCCACGTTGAGTCTCGATACCTTGTTTTAGACATACACTTGATTTTGCACAAAAGCCATGTAGCTTGGCCAAGTTGAGTCTCCATACGTTGGTTTTGACATACACTTGATTTTGCACAGCTTGGACAATTTTGCGCATTTGTTACGTAAAAATTACCGCGTGACCCAAAAAATTGTGACGGGCGAACATGCGCCCTTGGGCACCCACTAAGGGTATTGTTCAACCGGTTATACTTTGATTCCACGAAGGGCTGGATTTAGATTTGGAAAAAGTTTACATATAAGGTTCATAACTTAAATGTAGAATTAAGGTGGACCTCTAAAATCCTTAAAAAATGGTTATTTTTATGTCAGCTCGGCCCCAAACTTAGATGCGGTCTAACCCTTTATACCAATCTAAGTCTAGGGGAAATACTGCCAAACCAGCATCACACCCTCCATCAGTGTAGGTCTAGGGAAAATGCTGCCCAACCAGGGTCACACCCCCACAAACATTCAGGTCAAGGGGAAATGCTGCCGAAATTTATTCTACCGGCGAAACCTTGGTCTGTTCAAACTCACACGACCCACACGGTCAATTAGACGTGGTTGACCTACACGAGGCAAGGGTCAAGCTCAACCAGGTCAACGTCCCTTAAAGGCCCACTCTAGGGGCCACCAAGTCAGCAAAATCTGTAGCAACTTGAATGATGAACTCACCAGGCAAGCTATCGTGTGAGACTTAGAGTATTGTCAAATATCAAGTGACATGACCAAGGCAAATCGAAAATACAAAACCCTGAAACCCTTAGGTCAATCAACTCGAATCGGGTTAAGCTTTCTCCTAACCCTAATTGACAAGTCGGTCAGGAATTATCCAAGTTAGGACCCAAACAAGGCTAGTTACCAAAGAAAACTAGAGAAACAAGAATCTTTGCCTAAACCCAAGAGTTCATCAAGCTAGCCCTCCACTCACCAAGGTGCACCTTCAAACATTTCTAGGGACTACAAGTCCCTCTAAATCAAGCATCTTAGGGACTTACCCGAGGTCAGAGCCTTCTTGCGACGCACTGGCCTTGCCCAACCCTGTGACCCTCTCGACTCTTGAGCCAACATCCAAGTCAAGGTCAGGTGCCATCTTCTGCCTCCAACCAACATAGTTAGACCCATTCCACCCCCTAGGCGAGCCGTCATCGCCGAAACACTCATCCAAACCCACCTCAAATCCCAACCCATCGGCATGGTCAGGGTCCTCTTGAACCATGTGGTCAACCCAATTTAGTTAGTCAGTCTGGAGTCTGCAACCCATGCTTACTTCAAGCCCAACTGGTGTCGGCTTATCAGCCCCCAGCTTCACTAGTTCAAGTCACTCCTCAGACCTACCTATATTATCCCTCGGCTCAGGCCCCTATGCCTGCACCGCCTCTCTATCCGGCTTAAGCCTCTTCACCTATGCCACTTCCTTACCCTGCTCCAGCCGCTTCGCATGCTCACCCGGCTTCTACTCCTGGTCCAATGCAGTCCACACCGGTTGTCTCTCTTGAACCTCAAACTATGCCATCAATATCGGACAACCAGCAGTACACGGAGGCTAAGCCCCCAAGTCAGTCGTGCTCACCCAATTGCAAGGCGAACTATCCACCTTCAAAGAAAATTTTGATAAAAAAAGAGTTCCTAACATAGTCCTTAGGAATAACGAACCCTTCCCATCCGGCTTCAAATTCCCCCAATTTGAAAAGACGTTTAGTGGGTCGGGTGACGCTGAGAATCATGTCACTGCTTACCTTTTATCTCTTTTGGTTCTTTTAAATAGACAACTCAAGACAATGTTCCAAGACACCCTCTATGGACAACCCTTGGCCTAGTTCTGGGAGATGGTTATAAAAAACCTTGACTACACTTCCGATGAATTGTTTCGACATTTTGTCGACCAATATCAAGGGACCAGAGAGAGAACAATGACCTTTGGCTAATTGGTCCCCGCCTGACAAAATCTCAACGAGTTGTTTGCAAACTTCATCCATAGATTTAGAGAGGCTACATCATAAGTGATTGATTGCACTCTCTCTGAGACTTCTAATATTAGTATGGCCATAGAGAATGTGTCTCCTGAGTATAAATTGTACTTCAGCAAAACCATTCAACCTTTCTCTTTTGACTCAATGTTCAAAATGGTTTCACATTGTAAGAGAACAAGGAAAATGACAGAAGACAGTCACCAATCATACTAGGACAAGAACCCGATGAAACTATATTGGGACAAGAGCCGGATGAATTCATAAAGAAACAAGAGTTGGATTATGATCAAGATTTATCTGAATGTAACCTTGATGAGGTGACAATTGAAGAATGTGAAGCTGATCCCAAGACAGAGTCATCCTTAGAATCGTTTAGGGATACTAATGGAGCTCACTTATGAAAACACCAGAAGATACCAGATGTTAGGATTGTGTCATGTGAAGATGAAAAAGTCCTAATAGATATCAGATAAAGAAACCAAAGAGTCAAGATCCCTGCCCAAGACTAAAAATCATCCCATATGGCCTTGGGGCACATGAAGAAACCGACCCGAAAATGAATAACGAAACGATAAGATGACCTATATTACTAGGGAATTTCAGCCAAATTATGAGAATTGCCTTAAGTCTAAGGTCTATTCCATGGGGAACTCCTATAAAATTAGAAAAGTCCAACCCACAAAAGGTGCATATTGTCTCTATTATTAAAACTGGTGTGGAGATCCTCCAGGGATCAAAACTGAATAATGTTGGTCACCAAAATGAGGAAGCAATTCCAATCATCACATTAAAAGTTGAGACCATGAAGACACAAAGGGACCAAATAATCTATGACATGAAAAAATACCAGATGAGCATGAGCTCATTCAAACCTTGTGGCTACGAAATCTAAAAAAGATGTCACGGATTGCCTTAGCTCAGGGTCCGTAATCCAAGAGAAAACTACCCCATAAGGAATTCCAATTGAAGTGGAAGGAACTAACTTGCAAGAAACTCAAGGCCCCATCCTAGATGGTGGAGTAGGGGTAGATAACTCGAATCCTGAAGCTAGGGATTCTAAAATTCATAATGAAGGGAATGGCCTTAGCCAAGGTTCTGAAACTCAAAGAAAGAAGAAAAATTCATAGAGAATCTTGATTCTAGTTGAAAATACAAGCCTGCAGAAAATCCAATACATCCATGTGATGCATGTCACCACAAGGGTAGAGGTTCTAGTCAATAAAGTTCCAAAAAAAAGCTCCAAGATATTCAAGCCATCAATGAGCCCAATTGAGATCCTGAGATTAGGGATTCCCAATACCGCAGTAATGGGAAATGCCTTGGACTCAAGACTACAAATCAAGAAGAAACAAGTGAGCAAGTAATCCTATGTGAAGCAAATCAAAAGTTGATGATGGAAGAAAACCAAGGGGAAGAATATTCAAGTTCGAAAGAAAACTTATCCCATCAACCTCTAGAGATCATAAGAGACCCACCTGGGCCAACTTCACACGACTTCTTGGCAGACCCACCTACTTGGGATGAGGAGTTAAACCTGGAGCAATCAATCAAACCATCCTCTAAGGTTTATCCAACAACCAATCCGAACAGACTTAAGTATTCCTGACGATTCAACACCTCCGTGCGAGTTTGAACCCATAAAAGTTCTAAGAGGACCACCTGGACCTCTCTCACAGGATTTCCTGGATAACCCACCTATTTGAGATGAAGAAACCCAAGAAGGAGATAGGGGCAGGGGCATGACACCACTAATTGGAGCATCCTATATTAAGGAAGATCCACCCCTTGAAGTAAAAAGTGTCGATAAAAATTTAATAAAATCCCATCAACCAACTTGATAGGGATCACCCCATTTGATGAAAATCCTATAATGGCAGTCCCATCAACATACCAATAGGGGCAGTCTTAGACACTAATGAAATTATGATAGAGCCAATCCCATCCAACATACCGATAGGGACAGTTTCATCCAATGAAGAAGGCCCTATAGAGGCAGTCCCACCAAATCATTTGATGGGGGCATCGTCAATAAATAATGATAATACAACAGGGTCAATCGATGAGGCCTACGCTTTGTCTGATAACTCACAACATGCCTTGAGGCCATCAACATCCTACGAACAACATGATGTTGCAAATTAAAAATATTACTGAAAAGGAGTAGGGTGATCACTTGCTCATCCCTCTCAAATAAGTCAGGTGGGGCATCCATGCTCTGCTTAGGCATCCTACTCTATGACATTTACAACCCAAAAAGGAGTCCGTAAAAAAAAAAAATAAATAAAAAAGAAGAAGAAGGGGAACGATCCCAAGTACTCTTAAGGATGTTAAAATGAAATGGCAATGAGCTTAGCAACCTAGTAAGAGACTGAAGAAGATGAGAGTGACTCAAAGTCTGGAAATCAAGGCCCGAGTGAAGCAATTCAACAACCTTTATCAAAGAAGGGTTGGACATCAACCAGGGGTAAGGAAAATCTATAGATAACCAATATTAGAACCTCTCTATTATGTAGAGAAAGGAAGGACGATCAAGTTCTCATTTAGACAAAGTTCCGAAAAGAAAAATGCCAATGACTCTTCTTCTTCTCTTCCTCTTTCTTCATCATTTTCTTCTTCTCCGCCTCTTTCTTCATCTTCTTCAAAAAATACAAAGAAAAAAAAAAAATTTCGCCAGGCTGAAATAAAAAAGGAACTCCGAGCATTGGAAAAAATGTCATCGGGCTGAACACCTGAAAATGACCTCATGGCGACAAAAAGAAAATGAAAAAGAGTCCTCCGAGCTGAAAATCTGAAAGAAACCCAGAGCGTTGGCAAGGCTGGACACTCGAAAAGAACCCCGGGGTGATAGAAAAAAGAACTTATCTATCTTTTCGTCTCTTCTCAAAAATCTCTTGAAATTCTTCTCAACTTCTCTTCTCAAGTCAGAATGGTGTCAAAGCAAAAATGAATTTGAAGGCACTAGTCCAAGTAAAATTGAAGAGCCTTGACTATCTGAATTTCAAAAGAGTGGTAGTGGAGGAGCGAAACTAAAAGTTCATAGGGATGTTAAGCACTCAAGAGCAATTTCCCATGTTATCCAAGACACTAGCTTGCTTGAAAAATGTTAAGAAAAACCTCCCCTTGAGTTGGGCCACAAGAGCTAAGGTTGGAAGACGAAAAAGTACTCGATGATTCTTCATCCTGAAGGTCCCAAGCAAAGGTTCGGTTTGCTCAACTCCATGGTAGCATGAGCCTAAATTACTTATCAAACTTGTTTTTCAAAATTCTCCCCCTTTTAAAAAATTTTCCCCTGTGTTTGTCAATATTTCAAAAATTTTAATTTTTTTGTTAAAATTGTATGCCTAACGCCTCATTCTATTTTTCAAATCCCCTCTCTATTTCCAAAATTGACAAAATCATTTTCGAAAAACAAAGAAGTTGGACAACCCGTACATGATGCTATCATGTTTCTAGCTTCTCTAAAAGTATTGAAGCATAGACATAAATCCTTAGGAATTCATAATCAAGGGTGTACAGAAGTTTAACTAGCCAGAAATTCATCATTATTATTTTATTTTAAAACTCATAATCCCATTCAATTGAAAGCCAAACCCAAAGAAAAAAGTCCACAGCATAAGATGAGTGTACTGGTGTCCCAAGTAGCATTGGGGTGATAGCACTAGAGAAATCACCGGTACATAGATAGCACAGTTCCTGCTGACTGTCACTTCAAATCCTAATTTCTGGAGACCTCTCTACGCCACTGCCTCAAAGATAGCGCAATGTCAGTTCGATGTGTTACGGATAAAAAATATCCATCGCTGTACCAATTCCCTATAGGTTACAGGTCATTCAAAACCGCTCAAACTTTCCTTTCCATCGTGTCTCTGGTGTCTACGTCTTAGTCGTTCATTCGGTGTCCTAGGTGAATGCAATGAAGGACAACTGTAGATACACAACCCTCCCGTCCTCCCCCTTCCCCAAACCCCACCCAAAAAAAAAAAAAAGGCTGAGTGAATTCCTAAAACATATTGATTCTGAGACTTAAAGACCACACGAACCCTAGTAAGTCATACTTGACTTAGACCAAGTTTAAATGTCCCAAAATCTATCCAAAATGTAGTAGAGCCCGAAATCTTTCCAACATGCGAAAAATCCCTCGAATCGAACCTATGGATCAAACGTTAGGGCCTAGGGAAAATCCACCCTAAAAATTATTAAAACATCCAACGGCACGGCCTAGGCTGACACACATGTCGCCAACACATGAGGCGGCCCGCCTCGTGCCGAGCAGTGTGAGGCACGCGCTTTGCATGGCCCATCACCTGATTGGCCCATAAGGCCAGTTCCCTTCTAGCATCCCATTTTAGGTCGGTTTAAAACCCGAAGAAAATCCAAAAAAAAAAGTCCAAAAAAATCCTAAAACCTAATCTAACTTTAACTAGGAGATTGAATCAATTAATTTTTACCCTAACCTTAGTGAAAGCCTATCAAAACCGTCTCTAAAATCCTAGAAAAATACATCGGAAAATCATAGAAAAATAGTCAAAATCCCTAGAAAATAAGAAAATAGGAAAATTCCCAGACAATGAGGAAATTCCCAGATAATTCCAGATAAATAGAAAAACCCTTTAGTAAAAAATCCTAAAAAATTAGGATAAATGCTAAAAATCCTGAAAAAAAATAGGAGATTCGTCTAAAAATCCTAGAAAAATAAGGAAAAATCCCAAAATCCTTAGAAAAATAGAGAAAACCCCTAGAAAGCCTTAGGAAAAATCCCCTAAGCCGAAATCCTCCCAAAAATCCCTCGATTCCCTCCATAATTAAGATTAAATCCTAGATCACAACCTTAGATCCATGCTTCAAGAAGGCAAAAGAAGGCATCAAAAGATGTAAATCAATCCGCGTTCCTGATACGGGCCCCAATTCCGAGTTTCTCAGATGTGTGCTCTTTTTTTCCTTTTATTTTTATTTATTTATTTACTTATTTCTTTTATTTTTATGTTTTTTTTTTTTTTTATATTTGTTTATTACTAGATTTAATTAAAGTTTTGGAGTATTTTAAAGTCTATATAAACTGAGTCTAAAGCTGGTGCTATTAGTGGCCTTAGAAAAGGCCGGATCTGTATAGATCTACGATGTTAGTTTGAGCAATCCCACACTCTCTACTTTTTCATAAATTTAACTCGTTCCGCATGGTATTTGAGTTGATCTCGCTCCAAGATCGGCACAAATCCAAGCATAAACACCATGCAGCGAAACTTACCATGCATTGTTTCAATTGAAGTCATCAAATTTTTTGCAGCTCCAAACTCCGCAATTAGGAGTGGAATTGGATTTACAGGTTATCACATTATTTTATGGCAATTTAGTTTCTCGCGATGTTTTATAGTAGTCTATAATTGTGGAAACCTCAACCGTAAACAAAATTTTGCTTGAGGGAAGGTATCATTGAGGGTTCATAACACTTCATAAAATCGTTAATGAATTTAAACATACCAGTGAACATTCGAGAGTTTTAGGTACTTTCCCATAAAATATCCTAAAAGTTACCTGAATTCAATTATCAGACATTTTCATAACTTTGCTCACTTAAGAGGCCCAACATGAGCCCTTTTTTGGGGATTGACTACAAAAGATCATTTATATTTTGTACAAGGAAGGAACAATTATTTTTTATCTTATAAATTTCAAAATGAGTGATTGTATTAGTGTCATTATTAGACACAAGTTTTTTTAAAAAAAAATTATGACTTAGTGACCCACATCTAATAAATGAGAATAGTCTTACCTCCTACTATAAAAAGTAAATGATCTTTTTGTATAAGATATACGTATATGAGTAAAATAAATATTAAAAAACAAACCCTTTATTATTGATTAGGACCTTCGGACCTCTTTAAGGATTTTGTAAGGGATGAAAGCTTGTGATAAGGACCCTTTAACCTCTTTAATGATTTAGCAAGGGTTGAAAGTTTGTGATTGACCTCTATTAACAGTTGGAGCCACGAAGTTGATTATAAAAAATATGCTTGACAGCGAGGTCTAGATCATCCACCTCGAGTCGATGATCCCAAAACTAAACTAAACAAACTCATTTGCAGGCTTAGTCGAGAATTAAACTAAAGAAAATAATTAAACCAGAGAAACTCATTTGCAGGCTTAGTGGAGAATTAAACTAAAGAAAATAATTAAACTAGAGAAACTCATTTGCAGGCTTAGTGGAGAATTAAACTAAAGAAAATAATTAAACTAAAGAAACTCATTTGCAGGCTTAGTGGAGAATTAAACTAAAGAAAATCATTTGCAGGCTTCCTGGAGAATTGCCTTATGATCCTGTCGCACTCCTCTTCCAGCAAGAAAAGTAGAGAGAGAGAGAGAGAGATCATTTTCCGGCTCCTCTACCAACAAAAGAAAAGTAGACAGAGATGACGAGGGAAGAGACTGTGTGTGTGACCGGAGGTATCGGGTTCATTGGGTCAACCCTCGTTCGCCTCCTTCTCGACCGAGGCTATACTGTTCGAGCCACTGTACAAGACCTCAGTAATCTCCTCTCTCTCTCTCATTCAATGGCATTTCTCTCTCTCTCAACTGAATTTCATGTCCTCTCTATCTCTCTCTCTTCTGAATTTTATGTGTGATTTGAAGAAAACGAAAAGGAAACGAAGCACCTGCAAGGATTAGAAGGTGCGGAAAGCAGGCTGAGCCTCTTCCAAGTGGACCTTCTCAACTATGACTCTCTCTTTGCCGCCATTGACGGCGCCGTCGGTGTCTTCCATCTCGCTTCCCCCTGCATTGTGGATCAAATCCGCGACCCCAAGGTCCCTCCTTCCCTCTCTCTCTGTTCATTGTTAACTCTCTCTCTCTCTCTTCTCTACGCATGATAACAGTGGGGATGTGCAGAGGGAGCTTCTGGAGCCTGCAGTGGAGGGCACGCTTAATGCCCTTCGGGCATGTAAGGCAGCAGGAGTTAAGCGAGTGGTGGTCACATCCTCCAACTGTGCAATCGTCCCCAGCCCTAATTATCCTGATGATGCCATCAAAAATGAGGATTGCTGGACCGATCTCGACTACTGCAAGCAAAATGGGGTAAATTCCCTTCTCCACACCCCTTCTCTCTCTATATAAGAAATGAAATGCTGAACCCAAACTGGTCCTCTCGAGAATAAGTTGGGGCCTTTGCCATATTACCGACCATTCTCACCAAAAGGGGCGGCCTTATTGCTATGTGAACTTAATGGTTTTGTTGGGGTAAAAATGAAAACTTGATCCTCTTTTTGTTTTCTTTTTGTTTTTGGGGAAAATTAAGTCGGTATCGTGTTATTTCACTGTTATTACATGATTGTCTAAATATATGATATATTGATACAAAGGTCTTGTTCGTCCGATTTTTCATTTTTTTCAACATCCAAATGCGTATCAAATTTATTTATTTTATTTTATGACCACTTTAAACCTTAAAAATTGAGATTTAGGCTTAATGTTAGAAACAACATACCGCGTTAAACTTTTTAAAAAAGAGGCCTAAACGCGGTCCGATGTTAAAAAAAACTGAGAGCAAATTTTTCAAAATATACAATACTTTAATAACTGTCCTTCCAAGTAATAATAACCTATTTAAGCGTTATTTTTGTTATAACCCGTTTAAAAAACCGGTACAAACGTAAATTTCTCTTATTTTTGTAGATCTGGTATCCAGCTTCAAAAACATTGGCTGAGAAGGCAGCGTGGGATTTTGCAAAGGAGGAGGGGTTGGATGTGGTGGTCATAAATCCAGGAGCAGTGTTTGGCCCAATTTTACCACCCACCATCGATGCTAGCTTGACCATGCTCCTTCGCCTCCTTCAAGGTATAACACTGTATACGCTTTGACTTCATACTTGTACCCAATACTCACAAATATCATAAATTTTCTATTCTTTATATTGAGAATTCAAGAAAAATCTTATGTTCGGCGTTTGAAAACCCGGCAAACGTACTGGGAGTCGCTGATCCGGACCAAGAATCGGCCATGATTCAACTTGTTACGGAAGGAATAGGTACCGATTGTCCCCCTTCCCCTGCCTCCTAAAAAAAATCCAAATATAAAAAAGAAATTTACTTGTATATCCCACAAAAATATTGTAATTGTGAAAAGGGATTATATACAATGAGACCATTTATTTTTGATAGAATGAAGTCACAACTACTTACAACCATCTCATGTGAAATCTGATAGCTTGAGTGTGTCACAAAATTCAAAAAAATTTCTTTTGAAGTTTGAACTTGGTTAATGAAATAAATGCGGCCATCTAATTTTACATCTAATGATCTAGATTAATGGTAACCGCCTTGTACCAAAAATAAATGGTCTCATTGTATACTTTTCCTTGTGAAAAGCCCCCCTAACTTTTGTATATTATGCGTATATCCCTTTTGTTTGTCCTTTTCTCTATTCGAAATTTACCATGTCTCAAAGATTGAAAATCCAAAGTCACCACACCAGTTGATGATTTTGGATTTTCAATATATATAGACCTCATTTTTTAGTTATTTTTGTCAGAAAAAACAAAGTCACCGTACCGGTTGATGATTTTGGATTTTCAATATCTGTAGTCAACATTTTTTTTAGTCATTATTCTTGAAAAAACCAGTTAGGATCTTGAAAATCTAAAGTCACTCTTGATTACGGATTTTGAATATCCGAAGTGATAAAAATCTTTATTTCCATGGAATTTAAGTATTCCAAATACAAAGTCAAGAGTGACTTCAAATTTTCAACATTCGAAGTGAGTCCCTTTTTTTTCCCTAAAAATGGCTTATCAATATTACAACGGATATTAAAAGTCCCAAGTCATTTGTGACTTGGGATTTCAATCTCCATAGAGGGTAAATTTGGAATGAGAGAAATGACAGACAAATAAGAGATGCTTAATAAATAAAAATTAGGGGAAATTTTTGTAATCACGATATTTTTTTCTAATGCTTTCCTGGGTCCGCCACTCCAACCCACCCCCGCCCTGTAGGGGAAATACCCCGCTTTGTGTTTATGGAACGCCAATTTGGACCAATACGGATCGCAATACGAATATGGGCGGTGGACGATCCACCCCAATAATCAGTGTTTCCAAACAATACTTGTGTTAGACAGAAGCATGCACTCTAATATATAAACAAACACAATCTTGAGTGGATCGTCCTTCCTTTTTATTCAATCATGCTTGCTTGGTGTTGGAGTTTTGATGTGTTCCTCGAATGAATTTGGTTATGCATGTATGTAATTTTGTGGCTGAGGCTCATGTGACCTTGATGTATGAGAGAGGGAGAGAAGGGTGTAACTTTTTCAAAATTACTCCCTTTGCTTTATGTCATCTGCCTCTGCAATTACATTGGTGGTTATAGATATGGTGCCTTCTCTGTTCCTTCATTTAATGATTTACATATTGGCTAAGAAGACAATGAAGCTTCTTTGCTATAGGTACTTTATAAGATCCAGTTAAGCCTTCTTTCTTGTTGTCCATGATATGTTGTTTATGTTCTTCTTCTTAGTATGCCCCGTGTATTAGCTCCCATTTGAAGAAAACTGCTTTTGTTGAATGTTTTGTCCAATGGCAATCTTTGTGAATTCGAAGAAAGTTTGACAAACTAACAGTATAGTTTTTTTGAGGATTGGAGCAGGGATGGGAGTTCTAGAAGAGGGTGGCAAGATGAACTCTATCTCCTAAACTAATTTTGAAAATGCATTTGAAGAACCAAGTAGAGGACCTACTTAGGCAGTGGAAGCCTATGTAGCCAATCATGTTCCCTAACATTAGTATGGGCCAAAAGGTTGTGTTGAAGCTGGAAAGACCCTCATTTGAGGACATGGGCTTTCTATGGGGGCCTTTAATCAAAGATACTCTCTTGCAGTTTGGTTTACATTTGTGGGTTTGATTGGAGCGCAGATTCCACGAAGTTTGATACCGAGGCTCTCCTTAGTGGGCTTAATATTTTCTTCTTTCTTCAGCCCTTTGATTAAGGAGAGGGGTAGTCTACAGATGATATATGAGTCTGGTGGGGCTTCCCCTATTATATGGAGACATGAGGACTGGCTTGCTAGGGGGATACTAGAGATTTCTATCTTTTAGCCATATCACTTCAGTATGCTCGTTTAGAAAGTAAAGAAAAAATGCAGACTCCATCGACTGATTTGTGGTTGCTAGGGTGGGGTGAGTAGTGGGACTCTTCCCCTTCTCCATAAATCTAAAAATATCATATGCTTCAGCATGTATACACTCCCTCAAGTATGTAACATTGACTGTAAATAGCATATTGAAGTTACATAGGAAATAATTACTATGTCGTATGCAATCAAAAAAGCGATCACCACTGTCATAGGCATGTGCCTTTACGTGTGAAGCATATGCTTTAATATTCACCTTCATTGTATTTGGCTTTGTTTACTAAGCTGTACATCTTTAGCAAGCTGCAATGCATTTTCTCCTGCAGATGAGGAGTGGTTCAGAAAGTTACATAACCATTTTCTGATGGAGATTCCTCCTTGTAGTACTCTTCAAGACTGTTACATTCCTTATCTTTCCAGGTATTAAAGAAGCATCTAGTATTTATTCACTGGAAGGTTTGGTGAGAAAGTCTAGATTACATATGAATAGCTATTATTTTGCATTTAAAACTCCACACTCAAGTTATTAAACTTACCTATTAAGATATGAAAACGAGACTACAATCAACCACTTTCATGCTGCATTTGAGACCATGTGTAATCCTTTTAATTGGTCCCATATTACCACTTAGATTTGGTATTCAAGAGTGATTTAAGGCAATCTCTCCCTTGGCTCTTGGATCTAATCTTTTTATTGGACCTAGACTGTAGTGTATCAAATGTGAACATAATTTTACTATCAATTGACTGACAAAAAGTCGGAGCTTTAACCAATCATAGAAAAAAAAAAAAAGAGGAAAAACAATGCGAGTCTAAGCTTTCATATTCTGTACTTTTTATAGTGTAGAACATGGAACCCATGTCAAATCATGACTCAAGGCTTTCTTTGACCAAATATATAATATTTTGCTGCTAAGTGAGTTGTGAGACCAAATGTGGAATTTTATCAAGAAAGCTCGAGGGAATCTCAAATCTAGTCATATGATACACTAAATTTTTATGTCAGTGACTTTATAAACATGGATGATATCAAAAAAAATGAAAAAAAGAATAGAATGAAAAAAGGTCCTTCCACTTCATGTTTGGAAAAGTATGAGATCTCTGAGGTGTTGTATCAAATGGAATCCTCTTCGGTGCTGGAAAAAGCATGAGTCCTCTGATGTACTGTATCAAGTGCCTCAAGAGCTTTCTATCTTATCTTCTTTTGCTTAGTTCCATTGTCTTAAAATTTAGACTCTAGTTAGTTTTCTACTTAGGGAGGCTTGATTGATTTATATAATGTGGCAGGTTGTACCGAAGGTTATAAAGATCTTTTTATGGGTGCTGTACATGTTAATGATGTGGCATTAGGGCATATCCTGTTATATGAGAATCCATCAGCTTCAGGAAGGAACTTGTGTATTGAGTCCATTTGTCACTGGAGTGACTTTGCTGTTGCAGTTGCTAAACTCTACCCAGGATACAAAGTGCCTAGGTAAACTCTCTCTCGGTGGATATTCACACACACACACACACACATAGTTACATTAATTGACCTGGATACGCCTTAACTTTCTTTATTGGTTTCTGTAGGTTCACGGAAGTTACTCAATTTGGGTTCTTGAGGGCACAAAAACCATCAAAAAAGCTGATTGACTTGGGCCTCAACTTCATCCCAATGGAGGAGATAATTAAGGATGCAGTGTCTAGTTTACAAGACAAAGGATACCTGTCTTGAAGAGGTTCTTGTGGTAAAACGCTCCCAGATATGGCCCTTAATATCATTAGAGGTTGTTTAATTAGAAGTTGGAACAGTGTCTTCATGTCTCTGTTTGTAGTTGTCCTTTCCTTATAACTTGTTCCGATAGCCCAAGGGGACAGTAGAAACCAATTGAAATGGGTCGATGACGACTGTTAAACCCAAGTGAACTCCTTTCTTGAAGGAAACATGTGTATGTAATTATGGTGCTTCTCATGATGTTAATAAAGAAGAAGTTTGTAGATAGTTGCATCATGTTGATATACTCATTGATATGAAGTTTTCTGAATATTTGAGAACCTTGAGCTGCTGCATAATGCATCTAAATGATTTGAAAAAACAGAAATTGAGATAAACTGCATAAGTGAGTGAAATAGGTTTGATATCGACCTTTATTTTACGACTGTCATGAGGTAATGCAACTCACATGCTATATTTGTCGAAAGAAAATAACAAGCTATCAGGTGGAGGTAATTTTCCCATGTTCTGTTTGCACTTTGTAATACAAGACTTGAATGCCAAATGAAGGATAGCATGCATGTCATACTTTTATATTTTTATTACTACAGCAGAGGCACCATTTTAACATTAAAACCAGGCAAGGAGAAAGCCAATGGTTAGTACTACTCCGCATGCTCCATGTAAGACCATTTTAGTGCTAAAAAGCAACGCAGCTGAGGTTCTTGCAGCAGTCAATAACCTATGAACTGAAATCGCCAAAAGAAGTTTGATTTCAAGAGGTTTATTATTAACTAGGGAATTTTCAGTTCAGGGACCAAAAGCGATTCAGTTAACTTTGTCCTATACAGGGCGAACAATAACACTGTTCAGAAAGATGTGAAAAGCCGATGCCCATTGCACAGACTGTCTGTGTGCCGATTAGATTTTGAGTCTGTAAACTGAAAATTGCCAAGACATTTGATTTTGTGTGATTGGGACAATTTTTCCATTTTGTGGGACAAAAGTTCCTCCTTGGACTAAAAAGTTGCACAAAGCTTGACGGCACACTGTATACACATGAGCAAAGGGTGCCTCTGCACCTATCAAATTTTGAATCTAGAAATTTCTAAATCACCTGAAGATGTTTTTTCATGTGACTTAGACCATTTAGCTGGGCAAAGCTTAGGGGTCAAAATGCGCAGATGCATGAGCATAAACTAAGTTTTGAGCCGGAGAAGAACCCTCCAAACCTAGCCCTCACTTTAAACCCGGGCCTAAATGTGTCGTCCTGGGAAAATTGATCGGGACCGTCCATAAGCCCCTAGGTGCACCTGTAAAGTCTTGAAACATTGCGTCCTCATCCCACTCCTCATCAGCAAGCCCAAAGAGCAATGCACATGTTAAGTGAAGGGCGAGTTCTTTCATTATCGGCACTGCATGCACCGAGTCCTTATCTTCGAACTCGCGTGCAAGCTGGCTGCAAAATGATGCTACTCAACGTCAGAAAATGCAAATGATGCTACTCATCGTCGGGAAATGGACTCGGAGCCCATCGGGCTTGAGTAGGACCATAAAAGAAGAGCTGACAATCGTATGCCTCTCTCCATTGAGTACAAAGATATTGTTAGGTCCCCATATCGGGTATACTCCTCTTGGTTGGACGCTGCATCATTGAACATGAAGCAGTTCATGGCGGGGCCAATCAAGATGATTGTTTTTTAGCCCATTAGAGATGTCTTAAAGACAGGCCCAAACTTTGCGATCTTTTCCTCTATCCAAGCCGCTTCGTTGGCCTTGTAGGCTTTCAAGAAACCGATGGACTCACCGATAAACGGTAACCCTAGATTCCTTGGAGGCAGCTTCTTCTTTTGAAGTGTTGAACTGAAATTCCCTCCGAAAAAGATAGGCATGGCTACAAAGACCATGGCGAGGATTGTGAGAAAAACCTCCATTGCTTTAGCTTTTGACCTTAGATGCTAAATGAGTAGGAAGCCACCAAAGTTCGGAAATCCCGGTCACTAAGTTTTTTGAGGAAAGGAAATGATTTATAGAAATCAATGATTCATTTAATCATTGAATTTTCAATCATTCCCAAGTACTTGAAAACTCAGGCGAGTCAGCCATGGTTTGATAGTTCTTGGGCATGTCTACAGCCCGAGTACTATACACCTAATATATATAGGGCTATTCCAGGCTCACAGGCTGCCAAGCCTGAGCGACTTGCCTAATTCTGAAGCCACTTGGGTGAGTTTTCTGACACCAATGAAAAAAGAAAACCCCAATCACCCCCAACAAAAAAATTGTTGACCACGGGACCTAAATTTCCACTAAGCAATACATAAACAACAAATAAATAAATAACACAAGATACTCCTCTCTCCCTAAAAAATTGTATGCTCTCACATTTACGCCTTTTGATGTGATGACAAAAGATTGAGGAAAAACTTGGTACTAAGAACCTGAAATGATCCAGGAAAATGAAGATATTGATGAAGATATCGCACATAGAGCTAGGTAGGTGAACTGAAAATGTGCAATCGGAGTTTTATGCAATTGCTGCATACCAATGAATCTGAAAGGGCAAGTTCTATAGAAAAGCTGTGAGACTAACTTTGCTTTATTGGATGGAATGTTGGGCCGTCAAGAAGCAATATACTCATAAGATTAGTGTAGCTGAGATGAGGATATTCAGGTGGATGAGTGGCAAATTAAGAAGAATGTAATAACAAAATAATTTGAGTTTATATGACTTCTTGGTTTGGAATTATTGAAAACATCGAAGGAATAAACACTAACGGCCAAGATTTCAAATATCAACTTATCACATTTGACAAAAACTAAAATAAAACCTTTGTTAATATTTAAAGAAAATGTAACATCACTCAAGGCCATTGTACATAGAATGAAACGAGATTAGGAGGAAAGACATGAGGAAAGGGAGAATGGCCTGAGGTCTATTTTTGAATCTAAAGGAAAAAGAGAATCAGAAATTTGAATTTTGCCAAGAGGAAGTTTATCAACATTGGATATACTAAAAATTTAAGAATTGGAGAGAAAAGGAGAGAAGAGAGAAAAGGAAGAATAGATAGGAAATGAGGTAGATAGCTGCTAGCTCTTAGAGCTATGGCACATCCTCTCACTCTCGCTTCAGTGGGGACGTACCAAGTTTTGCCTTCTCACCGATTTTAGCCTTTTCATGCACACAAGGATAATGAAGGTCAGATCTAGAGTAAGGCATGGAGGTCAGGCCCTCAAGTTTCCTAGCAATGTGGGGAAGCACCGCAAGAGAAGGAGGCTAAAGCTAAGCATCCCAAAGTTATCTCCAATGCCCCAGCAGCTTCGGTTCACTGGGTTGCCAAAATAGAACTGGATCTTTCTGCCCTCCAGTTTCTGATGTTAGCCAGTTTCAAGGATAGGCTTTCAAAGCATGGGAATGCAAGGTTGTGAGCAGGATTATCCCTAGCAACAGGTTGTTCATTACTTTTTATTTTCAAGAGTATGTCAGACGTGATGCGAAGCAAAGGTTTTGGAGAATACACGGGGCCCTACTTACGCTAGAATGGGGGAACTCTAGAGCCAATCTGTCACTTATCAAACCTATGTTCTCCTGGCTTCGAGTTGAAGGTATCCCCATTCAGGCATGGAAAAGGAGGTCTTTGAAAGAGTCCTTCAAGAATGTGGGAAGCTTGTTGAAAGATACTGATTTACTTTTGCAGGCCCTGCACTGGGCATTCTCTGAGCAAAGGTGTTGCTCACTTTAGAGGTTGAGATCTCGGAATCTCTTGTGCATAAGTTTGCTGGTGAGTTCTCTAAGATTTTCATCCATCCTGAAGCTTGTCCTTCCCCTCCCCTATCCTACACCCAAAGCTCGTCTTCCTCAGTGGCTCTATCTAAGGAGAGGTTTTTTCCAATGGAACTTTGTTACTAAGAAAAGAAAGAGAAATGTGTCCCTTGGAAGCTTCAGGAGGAGGCAGAAAGGAGACAAAAAATGTTTGGCAATTAAAGGCTCCTAGTCTTGACATTTGTCCTTCCGAGGCTTCGACACGTGGAGACAAGCGTTCTTCCTCTCTCAACATGGCTACCCTAGGTAAAAAAGACCATTGCATAGAAAGGCACATGTTATCGAGGTGGCCAATGCTTTTGAACCCTTTGGGCAGAGGGAGCATGGAGACTCGTCTCTCCAGCACAACCCATCAGCCTTAGATCCTACGGTCTCGAAGCTTCGTCCAATCAATTGCCCTACTCTAGGCGCCTACTCTCAATCTCCCATATCTTCTACCGCCATCTTTCCCAATATCCCATGTGAAAAGGCAATTGGCATACTAGGGAGGTATGGATCAACAGCTCTGATGTCTGGTGTCAAACCGAGAGGAGGCCTTCGATAGCTCAAAGGTCTAGTGCTCTGACCGAGAGGAAGTCTTCGACTCTTGAGGCGGTGCTTTCAAAAGGTATGTCTTCCTAAACAGTTGGTGCCTTTTGGTGTCCCGATTGTGCCTTCTATAAATGTGTCTCCGATTGAGACAAGAGAACAAAAAGACAACTTTTGCCTTTGGTTCATTCTCTCCTCCTTTGTCGTCTCCTCTTCCTCTCGCCAACCTACTCGTCTCTCCAAACCTTCCACCATGACTACTCAGAGGGTTACTATTACTGAACTTTCTAAGGAGGAATAATAGAGATTAATGATCATGCCTTGGTTAATGAGCTCCCCAAAGGGGCTTCAAAGATGAATTTCTCGCTCTAGGATCACAACTTCTCTTAAGGTCATATTTCTGTTTCTATGCCTTCTATGGAAGCAAAGGCGGAGGACCTCACCAAGGCCTTGTTCGTTGCCAAATCCCTACAACCCCCCCCCCCCCCCCCCCCCCCCACTTGCGGTCACTGAGTCGTCACACTCTTCTTTTGAGGAGCTATCCCCTCGAACCTAAAACTATGTGTTCAGTAAGCAGAGAAAAAGCAGGTGGTCTGGGAGAAAGGTCAGGGGGCTGGGTGTCACGACCCTGCCCCCCGACCTCTATCGAAAGGCGACAGAGTGTGGGATCGTGACCAGAGGTCGCGTACATCACTCAGGTGGGAGTAGCATCAACGCGTATTAAAACTGCGGAATCATAGCAATCCACGATAAGAAGATAAAACTCATTCATCAAGCGACATAAAACTGAATAAATTAAAACCATTAACTTCATTCATCTCCAAACGTCTTTATAATAAGGTTTGAGGCTTACAAGCCTAACATTTATCTTTAAAATATTACATCAAAAAGAAT